TACTAAAAATACAAAAAATTAGCCAGGCATGGTGGTGCACGCCTGTAGTCCCAGCTACTCAGAAGGCAGAGGCACAAGAATCACTTGAACCCAGGAGGCAAAGGTTGCAGTGAGCCGAGATTGCGCCATTACACTCCAGCCAGGGTGACATAGCAAGACTCCATCTCAACAACAACAACAACAAACTATGCCACACAAAGCGTCTTGTACAGCTGTCATCTCACATGTGTGTAAGTTTGTCTATGAGACTTGGAATTCCTGGACAAAGTGTATAAGCATTTGGAATTTCGGTAGGTACTACCCAACTGCCATCCTTAAGGGGTTCTCATTTTTCTAATATTTTTATTCTCCAGATGGGATGCTTTTTAGGGCAGGGACTCTATCTTATTCATCTTTACTCTCTTGGCCCTAGCTAGGAAGTACTTACTAGATGGTGTTGAATTAATTCCTACCTGAAGACACAGTTGGAGAAGCTCTGAAGCTCAAGCCCCTTGACAGGGCACCATTGTTGGTGAGATATAATCAGCTTTCCTAATTCCCTTCTAAACAAATTGTGGCAAGGACAAAGTAAAGACTTAATCCAGGCCGGCAGCTCACGTCTGTAATCCTAGCGCTTTAGGAGGCCAAGGTGGACAGATCACCTGAGGTCAGGAGTTTGAGACCAGCCTGGCCAACATGGTGAAATCCCATCTCTACTAGAAAAAAACATTAGCCAGGCATAGTGGTGCATGCCCGTAATTCTAGCTACTTGGGAGGCTGAGGCAGAAGAATCGCTTGAACCTGGGAGGCAGAGGTTGCAGTGAGTCAAGATCATGCTATTCGACACTAGCCTAGGTGACAGGAGCTAAACTGCGTCTCAAAAAAAAAAAAAAGGCTTAATACAGAATGACCTCCCACATCTTGAGAGCCAGTGGACACTGTTATCATATGTTTTAGAAAAGACTATTTACTACTAAACTTCAAGTATTAATTTACTATTTTGTCTTTTTTGAGAAGGGAAAAATATTTCCAAAAGTCTTATTTGTAATTTTTAAAAATTCTGATGCTGTTGTAGTTCTGGACAGCTTTGTAGTTCTGGATGGCCCCTGAAGACATGCGCTAGCCTGGGAAAAGTGCAAGTAATTATCAGGCAGCACAAGCAATCTGTCAGGTGGTAGTCAGGGTTTGTGTGACTAGTTTCCTCTGGTTTCAGTGGCTTTCAACACAGCATACTCAGCCCTGTTTTTACAGCAACAATGAATCAGCCAGATGACCCAAGTAAACCCAGGCAACAAACCACCATTGGGAAAAAAAGGTATGAGAGTCAGGGGAGGATTCAAGCTCAATTCTTACTCTCCCACAGATGGGACCCTTCCCAGCTTTGCTATTGGGAGGCTTTGGGAGTCCTTTGCTATTGGGAGTCCTTTCAAAATAACAGTAGTGTTGTTTTTTAAAAGAATATCCTATGCTCTTTCAAAGTTACTGTTTTGGTTCAAAGTCGCTTTTAAAGACCCTAAAGTTTCTTTATAGATACAACTTTAAAGCAATACCAGTGACAAAGGCAATGGGAACTAATTTCCTTCTTCTGTACCTAGGAAAGGCTGAGTCACAGTGGATCCAGAGATCTGAATCAAGTCACAATTAGTCAGGGGCAGGCCTCGGAATACATGAGTATTTCTTACTGCACTGAACCCAATTATGCACACAATTAAGCACAATTATGAATACTAACACTTTTCAAAGCTTTGCTAGATGATCTTTATTTTCTCTCTTCTAAATTTACCCACAACCTTATATGTTCCTTGCAAGTTGTTCTAAAACAATTTGTTGCTATCAGAACACTTTCCTTTTAAAGACCAGATGACTTAAAAAGACTAAAAGCAAATTTAATCTTGGCCAAGTTAGTTTTTCTTTTACAGAAAGTGCCTGCTTCAACATATGGTATTGGAATGGCACAGTGTAACATGTTCTTTATCCATAGTTTGTATGGTGTATATTTTGCGCAAAAGTAAACTAAAATCCTTAAGCCCTGAGAATTCTATTCCAACAAGTGCCTTTGATTCTTCTCAACTCTGAATCTAGCTCCGGGTAGACTGAGTCTCCCTAAGTACATTCACAGATGCAACTGTTGCATTGCTGTTCACACACTCTTTATTTCTCAACATCCTATAAAATAATCAGGTAGAACACTCATTATTTTCTATTTCAAAATGGAGTGGACATCAACTCAACACAGACCTATTCATATATCTTCAATTTATACTCAGGAGGCAATGGCATATTTTTGTGGAAAAGGAGACACAGATAGCTCTATCCATCCTCCATCACTGACAGCCTGTTAGGTGGTCACAGCCATTCTAAGTCCTAGTGTCCTCAACTAACAGAGGACATGAAATTCTTGTTTAGATTTGTTTTCTCAGCAGTCAGTCATGATAACCTAAACATGGTTTGATGATTCACGCTTGATATTTCTGGGAGTCTCTGAACAGTAGACTGGCATACAGATTCAAATGTAGTTGAGAATTGGGAGGAGAGAGAGGTAGAAATCATGAGACATAATGACCACAAAGCAATAGAGCACAGGTGGGGTGGCTTCAGGTGGTTTCCCATCCCCTGACGTTGTATGGAAAATTCCGCATATGCCTGATTATGTGTGTTTTTCTAAACACAAGCTTTATTTTTGAGATCTTTGAGAGGGTTTGAAACCTTTTCTTCTCTCCCAAACTGAAAATGAAGATACCAGATTCAGCTTACTGTCTACGTAGAGGATAGATCTGTTAATCTCATTTCTTCCTCCTTCTATCCATCCCCTTGCCTCAACAAGTCTTTTGATTAAAATGGACTTTGGCAGAAAATATAGGGAGCAGTTTTTAAATTCCTGATTTTTATCTTTTTACTTTCTAGAATTCTTTTTTTTTTTTTTTTTTTTTAGACAAGGTTTTTCTTTTTCCCCCCGGGTGGGGGGCAGTGGCATTATCTCAACTCACTGCAACCTCTGCCTCTCAGGTTCAAGAAATTATCCTGCCTCAGTCTCCCGAATAGCTGGGATTACAGGTGTCTGCCACCACACCCGACTAATTTTTTCTATTTCTAGTAGACATGGGGTTCTACAGGTGTGAGCCACCTCTCCAGGCCTAGAATTCTTTATATGGCTTTAGATACGGCTTCCCTTGATTTATCTCTGAATTTTCTTTCTTTCTTTCTTTCTTTCTTTCTTTCTTTCTTTCTTTCTTTCTTTCTTTCTTTCTTTCTTTCTTTCTTTCTTTCTTTTATGTATCACAAAGATATTTTATGTATTCCTTGCATTTAAATTTGCATTCCTTAGCTCATTTAAGAACTTGGCTGAAAACTAAATATAGTTCATTAAAATGGCTTCTCTCAGAAACACTTAGTCAGCCCTGTGTTCTTTATTTTATGCAGATTTTCTATACATGATTAACATTCTGCAGTCACCAAACTCCTATTTTCATATGCTGAAGTGACTTAAGACTTGGGGTTTTACTGTAATTATTTGTAGTCAACAGAATTAGTTATCTGAAAGGTTCTTGCTGTTTGCAATGCTAATGGAAGAGCAGGGTTTGTCCTAACTTGGGTGGTTCTGTCTGAACTCTGGCTTTAACTGGTCAGAACTATAAACAAGTGGCCTCAGGACCCTTCAGCCCTATTTGAGGAGGCTGCAAAGTCACCTTTAGAAGATTCATTGGTTCATTTTTGCCTTTTAATATCCTTCCTAGGAGGCTTTATTCTTAGCACTTTCTTGCCTTTTCTATAATAACCTGGAAGCGCTAAACCACCTTATTATTGACCTATATGGGTTTTATAAGTATGTTTCAAAATGAGTGATTGTAGCTGTTTTTAATAATAAAAATACTTTTACAGATGTGGAATCTTTGGTAACGTTTTGGAAAAAAATTGTGGTTTAGAGACAGTTTCCACTTGTTGAGTACTTATTTATTATAACTGAGAACACTGTGGCTCAGAGGCTTGGAGCCACAGGTCACCTACTCAGGCATGACAGAAGTCAAATCCAGGACTATTGAATCCAGGGCTGGCCCCACCAGTAACGTCTCTTGATTTTTTTTTTAACTTCAGTTAAAGGTAAACTTCAAACTCTCAAATTAGTAGATACTGAGAAATGTGATAGAATAAAATTCTATAGAACAAGGTTTTAAATATATATATTTTTTCTTTGCCATAGATCCCTTGGCAGTTTGGAGAAGTCCTTCTCCAAATAATGTTTATAAATATGTAGAATGAAAATACACAGGATTACAGAGGAAACCAAATATTTTTAAACATAGTTATCAAAATGTCTTTAAAATGTATAAGAATCTGGCCGGGCATGGTGGCTCATGCCTGTAATTCCAGCACTTTGGGAGGCCAAGGCAGCAGATCACCTGAGGTCAGGAGTTCGAGACCAGCCTGGCCAACATGGTAAAACCCTATCTCTCCAAAAAGTACAAAAATTAGTTGGGCCAGGTGGTGGGCACCTGTAATCCCAGTTACTTGGGAGACTGAGGCAGGAGAATCACTTGAACCCAGGAGGCAGAAGTTGCAGTGAGCCAAGACCATGCCACTATACTTCAGCCTATGCAACAAGAGTGAAACTCTGTCTCAATAAATAAATAAATAATAAAGGATGCGTGTAATATCTAACTTCAAAATAGAGAAAACATACATGACATTTCAAGGTATCTGCAAGAACTTTAAAGGGATATGAAAACATTGAATTTTTGTTGGTGACAGTGTCACAGATACTACTTAGCTTAACCACTGTGATTTGTTGCCTACATTCGTAATCAAAGATGTTATATTTCACTTAGAGATTAAAAATAGAGATGTATTTTTTGTCCTCATTCAAGTTTATGGACCCCAGAAATCTGGACTGCAGGAATAAGGATCTGCTCAGAACTCTCAAACCATAGGATTATGGGTTTTTTTTCTCCATGCTTCTGGAGAGCGACATCATTTCAATTTTTTTTTTTTTTTTCTTTTTAAAGGGTGAGAAGAGTTACACTTACCTTCTAGGGTCTCACACTGGACCAGGTTGATATAGTCTTGCTGGGTCAGGAGACTGGCCTTGCATCCTCGAACCAGGCCCTCCAGGTAGCCATGGTCCACGTTGAAGTACAGCTCCGCACCTTCGAGCATGGGGGAAGAGATCGAAGCCAAGGTAGGGTGAAACAGCTCTGTAGTTCTGGACGGCCCCTGAAGACATGCACTAGCCTGGGAAAAGTGCGAGTAATTATCAGGCAGCACAAGCAATCTGTCAGGTGGTAGTCAGGGTTTGTGTGACTAGTTTCCTCTGGTTTCAGTGGCTTTCAACACAGCACACTCAGCCCTGTTTTTACAGCAACAATGAATCAGCCAGATGACCCAAGTAAATCCAGGCAACAAACCACCATTGGGAAAAAAACATATGAGAGTCAGGGGAGGATCCAGACTCAATTCTTACTCTCCCACAGATGGGACCCCTCCCAGCTTTGCTATTGGGAGGCTTCAAACACCTGAATGTTTTGTAAACATTCCTACCACCAGCTGAGCTTTCATCTGTAATTTACACTAACCCAGAATTCTTTGAGGACTATCAACATGAACATCAACATAAACAAAGAGAGGGTCTTTTTTTTTTTTTTTTTTTTGGAGACGGACTCTCACTCTGTTGCCCAGGCTGGAGTGCAGTGGCCAGATCTCAGCTCACTGCAAGCTCCGCCTCCCAGGTTTATGGCATTCTCCTGCCTCAGCCTCCCGAGTAGCTGGGACTACAGGCGCCCGCCACCTCGCCCGGCTAGTTTTTTGTATTTTTTAGTAGAGACGGGGTTTCACCGTGTTAGCCAGGATGGTCTCGATCTCCTGACCTCGTGATCCGCCCGTCTCGGCCTCCCAAAGTGCTGGGATTACAGGCTTGAGCCACCGCGCCCGGCCTGAGAGGGTCTTTTAATAAAAATAATTTAATTTAGACCGGCATGGTGGCTCACCTGTAATCTCAGCACTTTGAGAGGCTTAAGGGGGCAGATCACCTGAGGTGGAGACCAGCTTGGCCAGCATGGTGAAACCCCGTCTCTACCAAAAATACAAAAATTAGCCAGGCTTTGTGGTGCATGCCTGTAATTCCAGCTACTTGGGAGGCTGAGGCATGAGAATTGATTGAACCTGAGGCAGAGGTTGCAGTGAGCTGCGATCATGCCATTCCTCTCCAGCCTGGGGGATAGAGTGAGAGTCTGTCTCAAAATAATAATAATGATAATAATAATAATTATTATTATTATATAAGTAAATCAAATGTGGCTAGGCAGTTTGAAGAGTCATGAGAACCTAATTCTGCCACACAGTTCATTTGTAAGACAAATGGTCAGAAATGTCCTAAAATTGCCAAAGGATCGTAGCTGCTTCCTAGCCAGTCAAAGGGCACAGCCCAGAAAACAGTCCTGGAAGCAGATACACAAGGCTATGATTCTATAATAATAAGCCACTACCTCTGCAAAATTGGACTGCTTATAAGGCACCCTATTTTCTTTTTCCTACTTAAATCTCATGATTACTCTGCGATGTGGATCTGCATGGACAATATTATTACTAAAATCACAAATAAGGAACCAGTCCTCAGAAGCTGTGAGGCAGCTCAAAACGCATAGCTGGCAATACAGTAAGTATTTAATGAAGCTGGGACTTATGTTGAGTTTCATGCTCCAAAAGGAGTGCTTGTTCTCCCATATATTGTATTTAGTTAAAAAATTATGTCAAATATCCTGAATGCTATTTGCATATAGAGTGTTTCATATATATTGTGTCAAATCTTTAATTGGAACTAAAGTCCCAGGAATTCTCCAGTCTCTATCACGGTATTTCTAAACTGTGTGGGAGAAGCTAGATAAAATGGAATCAATGTAAATTCTGCTTTGATTGTTGAAAATCACAGAGAATCAAACTTACCTTTATGCAGTGCCCAGACTTTGAAAGTATTCAATAAATAGTAGAGGCTCTCGTTATGTTATCATTCTCTATCCACCCACCACAATTCCACCATCCTTAAACACCCTGAGTGTGTTTTATGTTGAACCAATCACTTATTTATCACTTCTGTGGTCTAAAGACGGTTACCTATCCTCAGTTTTATAGAGTTCAAACAAATACAACTTAAATAAATTATAAACACCACGCTTATCTTTTCCTAATTATTTTACTATGTTTTACTATTATTTGTGCACTTGAGGTGATTATGGCTATTGTATTTGTAAGGTAGATATTCTATATAATGACATGCTGTCATGCATCTCTTCTCAACTCTGGGTTGAATGACATAATGATGGTAGCTTGTAGCAGACCATGGCAGGAATGAAGTATTTATACCATGAAAATAGGCAAATGTTGCAAATCAGGGCTTGATTCATTGGTTAATTGTCCGGTCTTGAGAAAAAGATGGAGAAAAAGTTAATAAAGCAAAGTAAAAGTATGTAATGTTTATAGTCATTATATTGTAAATTGCAACCAATTTGAAGAAATGTTCTATTAGTATTTAAAAACTGTTATCTGATTCAGCAAGGAAGCCACTCACTTTATGAAGAACAAGAGAAGTTTTGACATATGTCTTCGTTGTTTCACTTTCATGTTATTCATTAATGTAAACAGAAATATTAGCCAGCATTTATGTTGGATATTCACTTATTTGTCAATTGCAAGTATAGGTTGGGTACAGATAGAAGAATTGAACAAACAAAAAAATCAATGAAAATGTTCTGTGAAAATCAATTCACTATTGAATTGGAATTTACAATGAAGAGTGTTTTTTTTGGCTGGGCACAGTGGCTCACGCCTGTAATCTCAGCACTTTGGGAGGCTGAGACAGGTAGATTGCTTAATAAGGTCAGGAGTCTGAGACCAGCCTAGGCATCATAGTGAGACCTGGTGTCCACAAAAAAATTTTAAAAATTTAGCCAGGCATGGTGGTGCACACCTGTGGTCCTAGCTACTTGGGAGGCTGAGGTGGGAGTATCACTTGAGCTGGCTAGGCACAGGTTGCAGTGAGCCAAGATCACACCACTGCACTCCAGCCTGGGTGACACAGTGAGAGCCCATTTCAAAGAAAAAGTATTATTTTATTGTTACTTATAAATTGAGTATACACATTCTTTGCATCAATAAAATTGAAAATAAACATGCCATACATTTTTACGGACAGCCAGTTGTTACACATGCACACCACAATATCTTCAGAGTCTTGCCTAGAGCCAGTCCTGCAGGTCAACATGCTCAAAAAAAAAAAAAAAAAGAGATTTTGTTGCTGTGTGTGTGCAGAACAACTTTCCAATTTGCCATATTTTACATTTATGTGTAGATACAAGTTTCGATGCATCTTTAAAATAATAGTCACCCACATTTTTTGCTATTATGAAATTAAGGCAGCAAAGTGTTCCCCTTTCCCTCCACATTGTCCTTCTCACCTGGCAGAAGTAAAAATGTCTCACTCCTGCTAAAGGTACTTGTCATAAATGCCATCAAGCTCACAAGAGATGAGAGGAAACCGAAAAGAATGACAAGATCTGGAGTTTCTTTATAAATGGGTCCTTACGGTGAAAACATAACAAAATTGTCATTCCAGTGTTTAAACTACCAGTGATGTTCAGGAGAGTGGGCTTTGGACTGTGACGGGCATGGGTTTGTGACTCCGTCTCTCTAATGGCCAGTGTTTTCATGTGTGAAATGGAAATAATAACACCTGCCTCATAGGTTGTTGCCAAAACGAAATAAGATAAAATCTTTAACATGCTTAGCACAGGTGGGCATGTGTGCTAAGTACTTGGTGAAAGGAAGCTACAGTTTTAGTTATCCATGATTAATGACGGTCTGAAAATATCACATGGAAAATTCCAGAAATAAACAATTCATATATTTTAAACTTTGTGTCATTCTGGACAATGTGATGAAATCTCTCTCTCGCCAGCCCTTTATGCCCCAGCCAGAACATGAATCCTCCCTTTGTCCTCCAGGCTGTAGGCACCCCCGATTGTGAGTCACTTAGTAGCCATCTCAATTATCAAACCAAGTGTCAAGACATTTGTTTCGTGTTCAAGTAACACTTATTTTACTTAATAATGAACTCAACGTGCAAGAGTAGTACATCTAATTTATAGATAAACTTTAAATTACGCAGGTATGTATGTACAGGAAAAAACAGTACATAAAGAGTTTGGCATCCATTGGGGTGGATTAGGAGGGTCTATTGTACAAAAACCACTGTAATCACTTTTATTTATTTGTTTATTTATTTTTTGAGAAGGAGTCTCACTCTGTCCCCCAGGCTGGAGTGCAGTGGCACGATCTCGGCTCACTTCAACCTGTAACTCCTGGCTTCAAGCGATTCTCCTACCTCAGCCTCTGAGTAGCTGGGATTACAGGCACATGCCATCAAGCCCAGCTGATCTTTGTATTTTTAGTAAAGACGGGGTTTCACCGTGTTGGCCAGGCTAGTCTCAAACTCCTGGCCTCAAGTGATCTGCCCACCCCAGCCTCCCAAAGTCCTGGGATTACAGGCGTGACCCACTGAGACTGGCCTGTAATCACTTTTAGATTGAATTTCCTAAATCCAGGAACAGTGCCTTATTCATTTTTCTTTTTTCTTTTCTTTTCCTTTTTTTTTTTTCTTTTGTTTTAAGAGGCAGGGACTCACTGTCACCCCGGCTGAAGTGCAGTAGCGTGATCATGGCTTACTTCAGTCTTGAACTCTTGGTCTCAAACCATCTTCCCACCTCAGGTTCCTGAGCAGCTGATACTACGGGTGCACACCAACAGTCCTGGCTCATTTTTCCATCTCTCCAGTGCTTAGTAGCATGCCTTGTTGGGGGCCAGAGAATTCAATACTCATTTCATGAATTAACTAGAGTCAGAGTTTTAAAATGACTTAAAATTGCTTTTACAGAATCTTTAATTCCCCGTTTCTCTAGGAAACACTATAATTGGTAAGTGTATCTGAAGAGTGAGGGTATTTTGTGGTTTTGTAGTGTAATGCACATACATATATAATTGTGGATGTGTGTATATCTGTATAGGATGTACAGGAATTATTGTGACTTTCTGTCAGCTTCAGGGGTTCCCAAGAGTCATTATCTTCATAGCATTAGAGGATCAATTTATTCTGCAAGGAAAGGAGATATTCCTTGAAGAAGTATAGTATAGTGTCTGTCACACTGAGCATAAAGAGCTTCTTTCTAGATGTAGTAGGTTCTTCAAAGCACAGTGTGAAAGCAAAGGAGAGGAAGGCTGCTTCCCACACACAGTCCTCCGATGTCTTCGATGCAGCTAAGGCAGCCCAAGGCTTTGCCAACTCTAAAGTAGTTGTCAGGGTGGACGGTCATATCCACTCTCAAACAGCCCCTGAGAGCATCTTTAG